CTTGGCTTCAGCTTCCAATAAGGCTATCTTCTTCTTGATTTCATTAAGAGATTTCTCATCATCAAGTAATGCGACTTGATTTTGAGATCTTTTAGCTTCAATATCTTCACAAAAAGCTTGCGACATAGCCAATTCCCGAGACTGCTTCTCCGTAGGGACCCTGTCAGCAACAGTTGAGCACTTTTGATCAAATGCTTGTGCTCTCTCAAAGAAATTCTTCACTCTTGTCTTCAACATGGAAAGGTCAATACCGTCCTTCTCCATCAGGATAATACAACTCTGAACATCCTCTCGAAGAGAAGAAACTTCTCTATTGTAGCCTTTTCTAACTTCTTTTGAATACCGCCCCAAGTTTCAATGACGAACCGCTTATACAAAGTAAAGAAGTAGTTCTCTGCTTGAAAAACGGATACAGCCGGTATCTCGTTGGTTGGAACTTCTTTGCAATTACTTGGGGCAGCTTTCGACATCAACCCCGCGACGGTGTCATGATCATCAGTTTCTCCTTCACTTGAGCTAGATGAAGAAACCTGATTTGAAGAACTGACATCATCAAGGATTGGATGAATCTGCAAAAGAAGGAAGAAATTATAAGTCCAAGCTTGAGATTAATTTAAATTGTTAAATAATGAGACTAACCCTCAGTGGCCCAGGATGAGGTTTTCTCTGGAGATGCTTCCAATTCCTATCATCATTACTTTGTTTCTCAAGAACTTGATTCTCACTCGCCTTGGCAGGAGGTGTTTCTTTCTCAGCATCCTTGATAAAAACCTCAGCCCTAGATGCTGCAAGCCTGGCCTTTTTCTGAGGCGAAGACCTAGCTTCAGTATCAGGTACCTTTTTCTTTTTCTTGGAGACTGGAGTCACGGGATCCGAAGGGGCGATCACATCGCCAACTGCAGCATCACAAATCTTGATCAAATCACCCACACGATTCTCGAGGTAGCTACCATGAACTTGGTTCCACCATTCTTTGTACTCCAAGGAATAATACTTCGCTGGGATAGTCGGAGGAGTTGGAAACACCGCTTCAGCCCGTGATATACCATGCTCAAACTGTTGCCAGTATCGAAATCCAATAGCAAGCGGAACACAACGGTCGTGCTTTTCAATCAAACCGGGAGCGTAAGCTTGAAAGTAGCCAAACTGTCGACTAAATCGGTGAGGAGTGTATGGCTCACAGATACAATGATTTTGGTAGCGTAATATGAGGTAGTTTGATCGAAGGCTTCTGAAAAGTGGTAACTCAGCATCTGAAGGATTTTCCCCGTCAAAGAATTTGTAGTCTTTGATCCTCCTGTGCGTGGAACATAACCATGCGGTTCAAAATCTTGAGTGTTTGAACACGAGAAAGTAAGTGTCGAATTTAGCCACATGAACAATCCACTTAATTCTCGAGAAAGTAAGTGTCGAATTTAGCCTCATGAATATACTTCTACTTCCTTGGCTTCAGCTTCCAAACCACTGAAGTATGTATGACCATTACTTCATGAATCAATTGGGCTCAAAAGATAACAATGACGGGCCATTATTGTCACCTGACTATTATGTGTCTTATTCGATCTCTTTTGAAGAACAATTGGGCCGCCGTCAGATACTATTGGACTGCTTGTAATAATTTTTGGGTCTTATCAAGAGGAAAATATTAATATGGATACATTCGGACATAATTTAGTGATTAAATTAATTGTGGTCATTTAATATCCAATTAAATTAATTATAAATCAAGTATTTAAAAGGATGGACCGGTCCTATTAATTTTGAGCCCATTATCAAATATTGGACCAATGAATAAGAGGCATGATCCAATTGATAAAAAGAGCAATGAATCTGGTCAAGAAATTTGTCCGTATGCATGGAAAGTGGCTGCGAACCTTGTTAAAAAGGTTGTCCAGATACATTATATAAGTGCTGATTTTTCTAGCTATTAAATGCAAGCAAATAGAGCTCAAAACCCATTTTAATTAGGGCCCATATAATATGGACGAATTTTGGGAACCCTAAAGCCATATTTTCACCCCCTCCACACCTATAAATAGGGGTCTCAGTTGAGAGAAGGGGAGGGGAACTTCCAAACGAAGAAACACTGCAGAAAAGCTCTGAAGAACTCCCGAAAGGCTCTGAAGGATTCCGAAGCATCGGAAGATAGCAAGCCACGTTTTTGTCAAGAATATATGATTAATCCTTTGTGATTTCATTTATTCTTGATCAAACAAAGCAAAAAGTTGAAGAACGTTCGAAGATCTGAAGAACGAAGCTTGAAGATTCGAAGATCTGAAGAACGAAGCTTTGAAGATTCGAAGATATGAAGAACGAATCTTTGAAGATTTGAAGATATTCATATGAAGATTGAATCAAGATTCAATTGAAGATCAAGCCATATATCTCGGGAGGCCCTTAAACAGAAGATCAAGTCATAAAACGGCCCTTTTGTTGAAGATCAAGCCACTTGAAAACCGGAGGCCCTTCAAGCTGAATTCTTTATTCAAGAAAATTTGAAGATCCGAAGAACGAAGATTCGAAGATTCGAAGATCTCAAGAACGAAGATTCGAAGACCCGAAGAACGTTCGAGTTTTGAAGAATTAGAGATTTAATTTTAAATTAAATTCTTTAATTATATTCATATCAAATTGCAAGTGAAGAATCAGAGGATTCATATTTAGAGATTGTACCCAATATTTTCATATATTATTATTTGCGATCAATTTTAAGTAAATACTTAAAATTTGTTTCACATACATACTACGTATTATGACATAATCAAAATTCAAAAAACATATTATTGTAGACAATACACAAATACTCACATAATATACACACACATGACACAACTAAAATCTAAAAACTGGAGATTTGATAAATTTGCATAAATCGGTGGACCAAATTTTACCTTTTAATAGTTGCTTTCAGACCCGAATAACAGTTAAAAGTTTAAAGAGGGAATAGTTTTGGATTGGGAAAATTTGGTAAGCCCGGAAGTGGAAGAAGCGAAGATTCGAGATGGATGATATACCTTTTTGGTTTGGATAAATAGATACGGAACTACGCGGAAGAGGAGGCACGGAGCCGAATGAAAGCCAGGCGGGATAAGCGGGAAGACGAACGAATACAAATTGGGCTTCAGTGGTCCAAAAGGAATTGGACTTATATGTCGCATTCTATGTACTTCCAATTGTCCTGAATATATACTCTTTCAACACTGATTGCAACGATTAATTAGATTAATTAAATTAATGCCAAAGTCAGCATTTATGTTGTTTTGTTCGTCATTTTTTGCTACACTAATACGGAGTACTAATTAACTTAAATATAATTAGATTAATAATTACAAATCACAAGTAAATTTTTTGCTAAATTCAAATAAATGATACTCCATAGTTACAACTTCATAAATAACAATCAAATACATACTAAACAAGTTGTAATTTAGTCTTTAAATTGAATGTAAAACACAATAAAACTAAAACTTAAAATTAAACAAGGCTGTAATATACTTCGTACAAGGTTGTAAAATTAAAATTATAAAACTTAATTAACTTAGTAACTTACCCGTTAGGTAGTTCCGCTTCTCCCAGAGGCCAGAGTCCCAGTTTAGCACCGAAGAGCAGAAAATCTGAGTCGCCGTCTGCCGTCCGGGTCTGACGCTCCGAGTCTCCGACGTGGCGATGTTTGTTCAACGGCAGACCAGCGAGCAGCGTGCTACAGCCTACAGTGCTAGATGCCTAGATTGCTACTTGTTAGGTTGGAATTTACAAACTTTGGGCCATGGTCTAATTGAGGGCTTGACTGGAAGGATTGGAGATGGGCTTGGGGTAGAGTGCGGAGGAACATATGGGCGGACTAATGGACCTAAACTGCTGTATATTAACTCTCTTTCTTAAGGAATTTTACCCAAGTAGTCGAAAATGTGAAAATAATACTGTCTCCGTCCCATTTAAAGGTTCTCGTACACTATTCTTCGGTCAACGTGCATTGTTCTTAATCTTTTATTTTATATATCGAAAGTTTATGAAATCTAAATTATTTTTTGCAGGTTTTGTAGCGGTTTTAATTTAGTTTCTGAATATGTAAATTTTATTTTCCAAAAATAATTCTATTAATGACAGGGATTAGTTAACTTTATGATCAGTCAAACATCGTAAACTGTGTGGGAACCTTGAAGTGGGACGAAGGGAGTATCATTTTTTCCCGCTTTTCAACTGTTTTTCAAAAAAAGACAAGTTGAATTTTCTTTTCAAAAAGGGCAATTCTATTTGCAGCCCTATTTACTATTTACAGCCACAAAATCACATTAATACCTATTTTGCCCTTCTCCCGTAAAGGCTGCTATGGCAAGCCCTTCACCTAGCTTCCTTCGTGATATTTCATAATAGAGGCTGCTAAACCAAGGAAAGGATTTCAGTACCTTTCTACAGCGAAGGAAACAACGGGTCCGCCATCCAATACCCCCTCAGACAGAGCTCAGACCGGCCGGGCCGGTTCGCGTTTTAGGGGGCCAGAGCCCGCACCGGGAACTGACCGGTTCCAGTTGGCCCGAACCGGCTCCAAGACCGAGTACCAGGCGGCCAGGCCGGGCTGATTCTGGGTCGGGCCTAGTTCAAGACTTCAAGTCACGTTTTATTTTCATGATATATAATAGTAATACTCCCTACTCCCTAGTTAACAGTTTAACACCACAAATGTATGCTATTTGGCTTCTCAACTGCATTTCAAGTATTTGTTCCTTGCATTGACCCGTTTCAAACAAATAGTATACACACTTAAAATTAATTAAATAGTAAAATACACAAGTTAAATTATTTAATACTCCGTACAAAAGTACCAATTTCTGTCCTTTCCCTTGGGATTTAGCTCGTTTCATAAAGTTGACTTGAACATTTTGGTGCAGAACTCCACATGAATGTTTTTTTCTTTCCAAAATGTATATAATATGAACTAATAAAAGTCAGGAAAGAAAAATAAAAAGAATTTTAAATCAAACTAGAAAAAATCGAACAACTTATATGATAAGACAACTTTATGATTAGCAACTATTGAAACATAATTAAATTTCCATAAACAGTACAAAGTATGTCATTACTCATTAATAGAAGCGAAGCCAAAGGCAGTAGGCACAAAGCAATACCCAAGCCAGTTTAACAGCTCACATTTCTTCACTTCAAAGTGGCCCATAGATATATTTACTATTAGCAACCATTAAAACATTTACAGTACTCCATAAACAGTATGTCAGTAACAGAATCGAGAGCAATACCCAAGTTAATTTATCAGCTCACATTTCAGCACTTTGACACTGCTCTTAGGCTCGTTTACTCGGGCTCTAAACATTCTTGAAGGACAACCATCTGCCCCCAATTTTTTTGCCAAAAAGGTGATGAAATATGTTATGCCAAGAATGGGTGCACTCTTCACATGCTTGAGACTGTCAAACTCATATGACTCTCCTGGCTACAATGGAGTAGAAGGATATGATCAGCGGTAGTGAAATGATTTGGTCATTGCTATCTTTTCTAAGATGCAAGTTTACGAGAGGAAAGAAAGCAATGATATGGAGCATACATGATTTTTCTCGTAAAAAGAAAGAGACATTTTGCTGAGAGCAACAATCCTTTCATATAATGCAATATTTTTTTCTTCCATGAGATATGGAAGAGGATATTTCTCTACACGGCAACATCTTCCCTACAAAATGACATCAAATTAAATAATGATGCAGATTATTGTGAACTTGTGTGCAATGATATGATTTGTGTAACCAATCATTATTAGGTAATCATTGATGCCTACACCGTGTATTGTCCTACTAACAAAAGGCGAACCAGAAACACCATTACAGCCACCTCCACTGTCATTTGAATTTGAGATAAATAGATTTTGTACATCCACAATAATATCATCCTGATTAGTCTCCTCCACAGACCTTTTCTTCGAGATCCATGTAGGCGGAGAGGAGACAAGCAATGAGACTGCACCTTCCATTGTTATCACGATTCCACTTACCTACCCTATTAAATGTAGAAAGAAAATAATCCATGTGAATGATATGGAGTATCTATATACTAACACCACTTGTGTTTATGTATAGATGTATTTTGTAAGTACAAATAAAGTGGTGAAAATCCGAAAGTCAGCAAGTATTGCAGTGATTAATTTTAAGCATGGGTGTATTTGTGGACTACTTGTCATGATCATGAGAACCAAGAATAATTCAATTGATACAGTTTTTAGTCAGACAGGCATTTACTGAATTCCCATAATAACTTTAACAGTAAATGTTCATGAGTGTAGGTAAACTCATTATATGTGAAGCTATTTCAATTGACAGAAAAAACATTCCAAATAATGTAATTGTACATAAACCATGCTGCAAGTAAAATTATAAAAGTGATGTTTACGTTAACTAAAAAAATAATCTGATTGCATGCGTGTTTGTACAAATTATAAATACATATTATGACAGATGATATACAACTACATGATACACACACTCATATATATATATATATATATATATATATATATATATATATATATATATATATAGAGTAATGATCCTGTCCGGACGTCCGGACAGGGAACCGCCGTCCGGACCTCGGCGTTTGGCCGCCTTCCCGGTGGCTTTTTTTGATGAAATTTTTATGGCATGTTCTCCATCAAGTCTAGTTTATCCACAAAAAAATTCAGCCAAAAACTCAATCGGGAAGGTCGTCAAATGATTTTTGCAAGTTAACTGGTCCGGAATATGTATTTTCCGGACCAGTTAACTTGCAAAAATCATTTGACGACCTTCCCGATCGAATTTTGAGCTGAAATTTGGTATGGACAAACTAGACTTGATGAGGAACATGCTCAAAAAATTTCATCAAAAAATTCCACCGGGAAGGCGGCCAAACGCCGCGGTCCGGACGGCGGTTCCTGTCCGGACGTCCGGACAGGAATATTTCTCATATATATATATATATAGACACACAGATGTATATATTGTTTACAGTAAAAAAAAAGTTAACAGTATTAGTCGAAATTGTTTGTGCGTAATTGGGTTATTTGACTTGTCATGATACCATTTGACTAATCACGAAAAAGGGAAGATTTGCGCTCAACACGATCAAAAATAAACTTAAAACATACACACACGCACACAATCAAGCACACAACCAAAATCTAAAAATCGGAGATACGATAAAATTTGTATAAATCGGTGGACCAAATTTTACCTTTTAGTAATTGCTTTCAGATCCGGAAATAGTTTAAACAGGGAATAATTTTGGATTAGAAATAATTGATATGGCCGGAAGTGGAAGAAGCTAAGATTCGAGATCCATGAGATACCTGGTTTGTTTGATAGATGCACTACGCCGAAGAGGTGGCACGCAGCGAATGAAAGCCAGGCGAGAATCGTCAGTGTCTTCAGGTTAATTGTCTGAAGGGAAGTTGGGCTTGAGTGGTCCAACCAGAATTAGATTGGAATGGGCCGAACATTACAAAACTCTGATTTAGAGAAATTTGACCCATGTCCTAATTAATTATTACAGTTTAATTTTGGGTTCCCAATACATAAATAATTGTAGTAAAGTTTACTAAACTCCGGTTTTTAATAAACTTCACGCTTTCCTTTTTGGGACGGTCTAAAATAAACTTCACACTTCCTTATTTCCTTTTTTTTGGCAAAAAATCTACATCAAAACAGTGTCAAACAGTGTCTCAACAGTGCCAAATAGTGTCTCTACATTGCCAAATAGTGCCTCAACAGTGTACTCTACAGTAAAGTCAAATTTCTTTCCTTATTTTGTGTGAAGTCAAAGTGTGAAGATTAAATAAAATCGGAGGGAGTATATTTTAAATAGTAAAATTATCAGTTATACATTTTAAAAGCCCAAACCACTTTCTTTCTATTAGCCCAACAAATACTCAGCAATGAATCCAAATCACCGAAACCGAATTCCATCTATCTCAGAGGTAGCCTAAAAAGTGAAAGTTATATCAGTTTTTTCACTTTTCAAACTTTCTTTCAAAAATAGCCTACGAAATAGATCTCTTTTAGTAATAGACCGTGACCACCAACTTGTTTGTTATGTAACGTTGTTAAATAACGGATGTCGGATTGTATACGGAAGATAGAAAATCTATTTATGTATCCACTTTTTTGAATAAACACTTACGTGTAACCTTTATGCTCTATAATTAGACTTGCATATTTCATATTTTTAAAACATTAAGAGAAAAAAATGGAAAAATGATATAAATGATATAAATGGTAAAAAAACGTACTCAAAATACAAAGTAATGTTTATAAATTTTTATAATTGTTCTGGAACTATTTAAAAATACTTAAAGTAGTTATAATTTTTTATGAAAGAGTAATGTTTTTGTAAATTCTATATATATACAAAGTAAAAATAGTAATAATAATAATCAAAATTATTATCATAAAATAAAAAAAATTAAAAATTTCAAAAAATATACAAAGTATAAATTTTTAAGCATTCAAAAAATATAATTAGATTTTGTACAAGTAAAATAAAAGTAGAAAATAAGATTTTTAGAATTTATTAAAAATAAAAAATTAAAGTAAACTAAAAATCGTGTAAATTAAATGAAGTTGTAAATAAAAAAGTCAAAAAAAGAAATTATTAAAAAGATGGAAAAATCGAAAAATATATAAGTTTGTAATGTAATATTCTAAAAATACTTACACAATTCAATAATTATTAGTTGTTGCATATTGTTTCTTGAATTAATTATTTGCTTCTTTTTGTTAATAGCTTTGAATTTTTTGGTTTTAATTGTTGCTTCCTATTTCTTGTGATTGTTGACATACAAAATTCAAATTTATCATGTAGGTGCTTCTATATACATGTGATTACGGGTTTTTTTTCACCAATGAACTAGCAGGGATGAATAAAAACCTAAGTAAATAATAAAAAACAATGAAGAACAATTGGTAACAAGATGCAAAAAGAAAGTAACAAGATGCAACAAAAAGAAACATTATGCAACAAAAAGAAACAAGATGCAACAAAAAGCAACATATGCACAATAACAATAAGCAACAAAAAATGAAAGTTTTACTACAAAAGTACAAATGTATATTTCAATCTATTATATTTATCTATTCTAACAGTTGACTCGATTCTTCTACCTCCGTGTGATCTTTATACACATTTCAATCGAGAGGTTTGTCTCTCTTTTCTTTGTTCCTCATCTATCTTCTCACCCTCACCATCTTCATGTACATATTCTTTTAGAATGCACCTGCGATGAGAATGCGATAATTATGACACGAAATCAGAATCAATTATTACCAAAACTCAATCCACTTTTTATGTCAAACCAATTAATACACATATACAACAATATATATAGTACAAACTCCGGTTCAATTAGAAATAATGTTATATAGACAATAAACAATATATGGTACAATAAACAAAAAAATAAACAATGGGAAACAAAAAGAAATATGATACAACAATAAGCAACAAAAAAAGTTACACCATGCAACAAAGAGCATCAAAAAATCATATAATCTGTGAATACATAATTCAATCTGTATTTCCATGTTTAAGGCGAGAACTATCCTTACAATCGATATATATATATATATATATATATATATATATATATATATATATATATATATATATATATATATATATATAAAAGAGGAACTTTTTAAGAGCATACAATGTGTCACATAACCTTGCCATGTCACCATATATAATAATTACTTGTATTTAATTATTTTTAACTTTTTATTGTTATATTACATGTTGATATGGAAATCCATCTTATTTGGTATGTTAATAAATCTTCCGATACATACGTATTTAACTTAGATTAGAACTAATCTATAAGTTGGAATGCTACGTAACACAACTTTTTAAAATATTTCTTAAAACCATGCAATTCAAATAATAAAATCCTATGTTTATTTTAAACTAAAATAATTTTTTTATTTGTACTTTGATTGTTACAAAAAATATAGTAAATTTAATAATTTTTTATTAAATTATTAAATAAAAAATTTAATAATTTTTTATTAAATTTAGCTTGGTCATGATTTTCGAGCGATCCTTTTCACTGGGAGTCTGCATCGAGTCCCAGAAATGTTGCAGGTAAACCATTGGTACTGGTTTGGCTTCGTTGAATGCAGTCCAAAGGTAGTGCTTCTGTAGGATGGAGAGAATGACTCGGTCCTGACATTTGAAGAGCTTCAGGTCCAATTGAAAGTTGTTGTCATATAGTGGGACCCTGTTCTCTTTAGGGTATACATCATTGCTTGGTTGTGCATTCTTGGCTGTTCCTGACATGATTAGCTGAAGAAATTGGGTCAGCACATTGTTCATTTGAAAATTTTATTTTTGTTCTGTTTTTGCAATTGTTCTGATCAGGTGTGTACTGGTGGGACCTCGAGAAAATTTCTGAGTGTAAACCACGAGAACCAACTTCTCGAGGTTTGAACATCGAGAAGTAGGTTCTCGAGGTTTAAATCCCGAGAAGCTCTTCTCGATACTCAAACATCGAGAACTTGGTTCTCGATGTGAGAATATCAAAAAGTCCTTCTCGAGATCTAAACTTCGAGAACTTCCTTTCCCGATGTTTAAATATCGAGAACCGCTTCTCGGTATTTCAAACTTCGAGAAGTAGGTTCTCGGTATTTAAACATCGAAAAGACCTTTTCGAGGTTCAAATATCGAGAACTGATTTTCTCTCACACACTCTTTTTCTTACTTTTCTGATTTTCTCACTCACACACACACTCTTTTTCTGATTTTCTGATTTTCTCACACACACACACACTTTTTCTTATTTTCTTCTTTTCTCCCCCTCAAAGTATTCCTCTCTCTTTTATTTTCTCCCTTTTCTCCCCCTCAACACATGCAACGCACACCACACACGCACACATTTTATTCAGACCATGGAGATAACACAATTACATAGGATCTAGATTCAACATGCCTAACTTAGATATTAGGAACTGGAATCTCTTTTCATCCAGTGTCTTAGTAAATATGTCAGCCAGTTGAAGCTCAGTGCTTACAAAGTACAGATCAACATCTCTTTTCTCCACATGGTCCTTGATGAAGTGATAGTGCAGATCGATGTGCTCGGTGCGCGAGTGATGAACGAGGTTGCTTGTTATGGCAATTGCACTCTGGGAGTCACTGTAGATCGGGATGTGATTGAACAAGAAGCCATAGTCTCTGAGTTGGGTCCTCATCCATAGGATTTGTGAACAACAACTAGCAGCCGCAACGTATTCTGCTTCGGCTGTAGAAGTTGACACACAGTTCTGTTTCTTGGAGGACCAACAGACTAGCTTCTCTCCCAGAAATTGAGCACCACCGGATGTACTTTTCCTGTCTAACTTGCAACCTTCAAAATCAGCATCTGAGTAACCAATGAGGTCAAAACCCGTGTCCTTGGGATACCAAAGTCCTAAGTTGACTGTTCCTTTCAAGTATCTCAGGATTCTCTTTACTACATTTAGATGTGATTCCTTTGGATTCGCTTGAAAGCGTGCGCACAGGTAAGTTGCAAAGACAATATCCGGTCTACTAGATGTTAGGTACAACAAGGAACCAATGATTGCCCGATAGTTGGTAGCATCGACTGATATCCCAGAAGGGTCAGAGTCGAGTTTTTGTGAGGGAGACATGGGGGTTTTCATGGTTGACTTGCTGTCCATCTTGAATCTCTTGAGCATTTCATGGATGTACTTTGACTGGCTGATGAATATTCCGTCTGGCAATTGCTTGATCTGTAGCCCAAGAAAGAAGTTCAGCTCTCCCATCATACTCATTTCAAACTCAGTGCGCATCAAGTTGCTGAATTCTTCGCAGAAGTTCGGATTGGACGAGGCGAATATGATGTCATCTACATAGATTTGTATCAGCATGATGTCACTTTTCTCTCGCTTGATGAAAAGAGTTGGATCTATCTTCCCCTTCGAGTAGCCTGAGTGCACAAGGAAGTCAGATAGTGCATCATACCAGGCTCTCGGTGCCTGTTTTAGTCCGTACAGAGCTTTCTGCAGCTTGTAGACATAATGTGGGCGTTCAGGATCAACAAAGCCTTCCGTTTGTGCCACGAACACTTCTTCTTTTAATTCGCCATTTAGAAACGCAGTCTTTACATCCATTTGATAGACGGTGAAACTTTTATGAGCAGCATATGCAAGGAACAACCTGATTGCTTCAATTCTAGCCACTGGTGCAAAGGTTTCATCATAGTCAATTCCTTCTTGTTGATTGTATCCTTTTGCGACCAGTCGGGCTTTGTTCCTTACAATCACACCGTCTTCATCCTTCTTGTTCTTGAAGACCCACTAAGTGCCAATTATTGTTTTCTTCGGGGGCCTCGGCACCAGGGTCCATACATTTAATCTTTCAAACTGATTGATCTCCTCCTGCATTGC